ACACTCGGTTCGCACTGAGTGCGAGTGATGTAGCAACTTGGACACACTCACGGAATTGTCACGCTTATCTGCTCGACTACGTCATCGTACGTCAGCGTGATATGCGTGAAGTGCTCATGACACGTGTACTGCGTGGAGCTGAGTGTGGCATTTATCGCAAATTGGTGCGGAACAAACTGTGCATATAATTTCGCAAATCTATGTATTACACTCCCATTGGGAATCGGCGTAACCTTAACATTCTCTGCCTCGGTACTGTGGCGAAAATTATTGAGCTGGAGAAGGCGATGGCTGTACGCTTGTGTAATGTGGAATACATAGCCACAGTGGGCGACCTGTGGCACCACATTCGCAAACAGGTGACAACTGCTGTCCAGGAGACCATCGGTCGCGCAAACTGTAAGCGGCCTGATTTGTTTGATGAGGACGATGCGACGATTAGCGCATTGGTGTCGGAGAAGAATGCAGCATTTGCTGCACATGTGGCAGACCCCAATGACGTGCGGAAGAGTAGTCAGTTTCACAAACTACGACGGCGACTGACCCGAGAGCTCCGTCGCATTAAACATGCATGATAAACGAAGAAGGCGAAGCAAATGGAATGCTACATCGAATGTCGCCAACACAAGGAATTCTTTGATTCCTGGAAGGCGGTGTATGCACCGAGATTGGAGCTGCTGAGGACATTGATCGTTAGTAGTTCAGGCGCTACTTGCACACAGACTACAGAGATACTGCAGATCTGGTGAAAACACTTTGACTGTCTCTTGATCAACCGTTCAGAGATCGATTGGCCTACTTTGAATACGATGAAGCAGCACGATGTGAAGGCGAGTCTGGTGGACACGCCGACACTGGATGAGACACAGAGAGCACTTGCTCAGCTGCGAAACGGTAAGTGTGCCAGTCCTGACGGGATCCCGCCTGAAATATTGAAACACAGCGGACCCGCGTTGGGGACTGCGCTGAACCACTTGGTGCAACGCGTGTGTATTGAGGAGGAGGTGCCTCCTGAGCTGAAGAATGCCCTTGTGCTACCACTGTACAATGGCAAAGGGAGCAAGCAATGTTGCATGAATTATCGTGGCATCAGTTTGCTGCGTTGTGTGGACTAGCTGATTGCCCGAATCCTGCTCAACCGCCTCGTCAGTCATGTTGTGGAACCAAACGTGTCGGAAGAGCAGTTTGGATTCCGTTTGTGTCGGAGCACTATAGATATGGGGTTTGCGGCTCGTCATTTGCAGGAGAAGTGCAGAGAACAACACCAGCCATTGTACTCGCTTTTGTTGATTTCAGCAAGGCATTTGATACGGTGAACCGCGAGGTATTGTGGTGTGTGTTGGATAAGTTTGCTTGTCCGAGTAAGTTTGTAAGTTTAATTGGATGTCTGCACAGTGGTATGCGGGCGAGGATGCAGCTGAGTGGAGAGACCTCGGATGAGTTTGCAGTTGTTTCTGGTGTGAATAAAGACTGTGTCTTACCTCCTGTCTTGTTTAATATTTATCTTCATGCAATGATGTCTTGTGCTTTTGATGCGGCTTGTGTTTACGGTGTTCGTGTGGAGCACCGTATTGATGGTGGGTTGCTGAACATCCGTTGTTTCGGTGCGGGTACCCTGGTCTGTGAGACAACTATCAGTATATGGTTGTTTGATGAGGACTGTGCGTTGTTTACACACTGCGCGGATGAGTTGCAACACATGACTATTGCTCTGGCTTCGACAGCGGCCAAATTCGGACTCACCATCAACACAAGCACACTGTCTGTCTCTCAGCCTTCACTGGAGGTGCAATCTTCAATATTGCCGCGAATCAGCATTGGTGCTGAAGTATTGGAAATTACCTCTCGCTTCAGCTACCTTGGGAGTGTGATGTCGACTGACCAGCAGCTACGCAGTGAGCTTCGTATCCGCCTCTCTACGGCAGCGGCGGCATTCCGGAAGCTAGAGTGTGGAACAACCATCAGCTTACCGTTGGTATGAAGCTGATGGTATACAAATCCATGGTGCTGTCCATTATTCTATACGGCAGTGTAACGTGGACGATGTACCGACGGGATGTGCGGTATCTCGAGCGGTTCCATCAGCAGTGTTTGCGACGGATTCTGCGCATCGGTTGGTGCGACAGAGTTGCGGACACGGAAGTTTTGTGCCGAAGTGGAATGTGTGCAGTGGACTGCATACTTTTGCTGAGACACCTGAGGTGGTTCCGTCATGTGTGGCGTATGGATTCGACGCGGATACCGAAACAACTATTATATGGTCAGCTGAGTATTGGGAAGCGGCATGCGGGTAAACCAAAATTACGTTGCGAGGACATAATCAAAGTGAGCCTCTCATGTTCTAATCTTGATTGCAGGTCATGGAAATCGGAAGCGGTTGATCGGCGTGCGTTGCGCGATCTGATCACGAAGGCAGTTGCCGAAGTGCTGGAGTAAGTCCTCATATATGCGGAGAAGAAGCAGCAGGCGCCGCTGGGTTGTACTCCATCGGCATCGAGCGCATGGTGCTGTAGCACATGCGGTCGCGAGTGCCTGAGTCAGGCAGGCCTAATGAGCCATGAGCGAGGCCACTCGGGACCAGTACCGACGCGACGACGGATCCTGCAGTAAACGTAGGCGGAACCGGCGCAGTGTTTGTAGGTACGCTGCATTCGATTTACTAACCGTTTGCTTGCATGCTGGGTCTCTTTATTTCAGGTGGTGGGGTTTTCTATATTGTCCCAATGTTTTTATCTAATATTAATGTCTACCATATTGTCTTCTTTAAACGTGCACACTTCCCTTAAACTAATTTGTTAACTTCGATAACATTTTCTCGGTTGTGGCATTTCCTTAAAATATATTTTCTGACGTACGGAACTTTTTGCGAATTTTTTCAACCAATTTGTTTCATACTTTCATTGAGTTCTGAATTAGGTCACTGTGCCTGTATGCATTATTCCATTATTCCAAACGCTTTTTTTCTTTCTGCTGACGTGCATGCGTTATCAGATCATTTCTCCTCCCATTCCCTTAGCAACTGAGAGGATGTAAGCATCCAGTCACTTATCGGTGTTCTAAGCAACACCTGGTTTACCTCCCTGTTGAGTTCTTACCTCAGCTATATCCATGCCTGTCATCTATGCTTCCAGTATCCGTCCGCTTATTAACAAGTCTGATGACTGTGTTTTGATTACATCCAAATTTCGCCTCAATTTCCCTGCTTGAGTAACCTCCAGTGGAGCACTACTGTTTGAACACACACTTCTTTGTCCATGTACTTAAAGGATCTCATGACATAACTACACTTGGTGTGACAAACAAGTGTTACAAGTTCGCACTAGAAATTTATTCAAATTTACAAATATACATACGCTGTTTTGTTACTGGCCGGCAATTACGCATCTCTACTGGAGGGGTGTTCATCGTTTGAAAAGTGGGTTTCGATCCCAGTTTTGCACATTTAAGGCATTCCACACAGACTGCACCACAGAGGTATTTTAGCCAAAACAATTTAAGCATATTAAAAACACAAAATCATGGGAATTATAATCTGAGTTAATGATATATAGTGTTTGTGCATTTCTGTTTTCATTTAGACGACAGAGCCATCAGCCTACCGATTTTCAAACTGATGCAGTTATTTTTCACAGCGCTATAGATATAATGACTGAAAGCGCGTTTCGGTATATTGGTATAGTCCTCACAATGAAGTACTTTTCTCCTAAACTTCAATTACACCTCTACGTTATGATTACTTGTTCGGTTTGCATCTCCTTTGTTAATATGTGCAATCTTCACTGTTTAATTTCTTCTGTAGGAGGAATTTTTATCTTTACAAGATTGAAGACTTGTCTTCAATTATCGCTGTCCGTTTGTGCAGTTTTCATCATTACTTACCTAAGCATCGGCCAATGAATGAAAGGGTTAAGCGCTTGCCTTGGAATCGGAAGGTCTTCGGTTCGAATCGGCATAGTTGCGGACTACATCAGAACATAAGAAATCAGGTCCTCCTGCGCACCTTTTCGTTGTACCATTCTGACCTTACGTTCCGTCGCACACCCTCCTACACCACGTATCGGTGGTAGTTAATTTGTGTACCATGCATCCTTTGCCCCCAGTGATACATGATTTCTCTGATTTTCCCACACCTGATCGTTTTCACATATACTATAGAGCATCGGAAGCCAGTGACTACTCGTGAACCGGAATGATAACGGAAACGGGATTGTAGAGAATTAAAACGAGCGCAGTGGGTGTGGCGAGACCAGGCTCTGCGAGCCTTGTGGATCGAGCCGACAGCGGATCACGAGCGGCATCTGGTAACGAGCCTGCGCTCAGCACAATGGAGGAGGTATTTGTCGACAACGCAATGAATCAGACAAACAGGCCGCTAGCGGAGTTCACAGGCGTGAATGCGGATCGAGTGATGTAACCACGGCA